AGAGAGAGCAGCGGGGTAGGGCAGTGCAGTGGCAGAGGCGCTGCTCTTACCAGGGAGGTGGGGCGGGCCGAGGCAGGCCGGTAGGGACAGGGCCGCGACTGCAGGGACTGCGGCGTCTCGGCTGCGGCGGCGTGGCGGCTCGGCGGCTCGGCGGCTCGGCTGCAGGGCGGCTCGGCGGCTCGGCGGCTCGGCAGCTCGGCGGCTCGGCGGCTCGGCGGCTCGGCAGCTCGGCGGCTCGGCGGCGACAGGGCCGGTGAGGGGGGGGCCGCACAGAGCGGCGAAGGGGCCGCTGTAGGGCGGCGACGGGGCCGCTGAAGGGCGGCGGCGGGGCCGCTAGAGGGCGGCGACGGGGCCGCTGGAGGGCGGCGACGGGGCCGCGGTAGGGCGGCGACGGGGCCGCTGAAGGGCGGCGGTGGGGCCGCTAGAGGGCGGCGACGGGGCCGCGGTAGGGCGGCTACAGGGCCGCTGAAGGGCGGCGGCGGGGCCGCTAGAGGGCGGCGACGGGGCCGCGGTAGGGCGGCGACGGGGCCGCTGAGGGGCGGCGGCGGGGCCGCTAGAGGGCGGCGCGAGGGGCCGTAAGGGGCCGTGAGGGGCCGTGAAGGGCGGCGACGGTGGGCCGTGAAGGGCGGCTGCGGGGCCGAGACGGGGCCGTGAGGGGCCGCGAAGGGCGGCGACGGGGCCGTGAAGGGCGGCGACGGGGCCGTGAAGGGCGGCGTCGGGCCGCGAAGGGGCCGCGAGGGGCGGCGCGAGGGGCCGTAAGGGGCCGCGAAGGGCGGCGCGAGGGGCCGTAAGGGGCCGCGAGGGGCCGTAAGGGGCCGCGAAGGGCCGTGAGAGGGGCCGCTAAGGGCGGCGCGAAGGGGCCGCGAGGGGCCGTGAAAGGGGCCGCGAGGGGCCTTAAGAGGGCGCGTCGGGCCGCTAGGGGCTAGGGACGCGTCGGGAGGGAGGGCACACGGGGCGCGACTCGGGCAGGAGCGAAGCGCGCTCCGGGCAGGAGAAAAAAAAAAGTTTATCGTGGTGGGCCCTAGGAAGCGTTCCCACTAGGGAACCTGCTCTATACCATGTGAAAATTAGAACGAGAATGAGTCAACTAGGAAATGAGTTGGGTACAAATATGAAACCCTAGAAAGCTGTACCTCATACTGTCTACCCCACTACAGCCTAGAAAGACTATAGCATATAAGTTCGACAAACCAACCACACCCGTGCCACCAAACTACCCTCGAAAAGCGGGGTGAACTAGGAAAGTAGCTCTGATACCAGGTGTTATGAGTTGTAAAAGAGAGTGCGCATGTAAACGAATAACGAGGCTGTCACTGAATCAACTGCGAATACCATAATACCCCGGATATAAGCGCACCTGCGCTTATAATAAAACCTGGTTTTTTGGGGGGGTGCGCTTATAATTGAGTCTGATTTATAAGCGCATGCGCTTGTATAAAGGATAAAATGAAAGTCAATTTTAAACACACCATTGTGAAGCTCTCAATAAGGCGAATTCAACCAACCATGCACCAAGTGGGATCGTGCATGGTTTTCAGGCAGAAACCGCAGCGGTTCGGTTTCCCACCGCACAATGTTGTCTGGAAACATCGACAGTGACAGTCGTGACGAGGATGTTGCCGTGCGGCCCAATCAGAGCCGCATGCGCTGCGTGGCATGTGCATTTGGGCAGAACCATCTCGAAGGTTCGGCAAAATTCCCTGCCAGCGCAGCGTAGATGCTGCCACGCAGGCGCCTCTACGGGAGTAGGCGGGGGTTTCCTGCCTGTCATCGACGAGGAACCCGAGCCGCCACGCAGCAGGGGTCACCGTCGTTGCCCATTTCTTCACCCTCTTCTCTGATTTTTTCATTCAGTTTCTTGTCAACCCCGCCTGGCAGGCGAAGCCATGGCGGAATTTAGTGGGACTCACATCCTCTTCAAGAAAAAGCCCCGCCGCACATGGCGACTTACCGAGGACGGGTGGTATACCCGTGAGCCACCAGCGCCTCCAGTGCCACCAGATCCCCCTGCACCCCCTGCTCCTCCTGCTCCTCCTGCGCCTCCTGCTCCACCCGCTCCTCCCGCACCTCCCGCTCCTCCGAATCCGCCTGAGTCTGTTACGGCAGGTGCTCACCAACGGCCCGTGCTCCAACTGTATTTACCGGCCACGTTCGACGAATGGTTAGCTGAAGCGGACACACCCAAGGCCCCCGATGCACGCATCCAAGCTCCGGCGCCTGCACCACGGTGGGGACAACCTGAATCCTGCGCGTGGGATGAGTCGGCTGTGGGCGCCGACGATGATGTGGCCGCCGATAAACATGACAGCGGCGCCGGCGAAGCTGGAGGCGACGGTGAAGCTGGTGGCGCCGGTGCAGCGGGCGACGAGGAAGACGTGTTCCCCGACCGTGACACAACTGCCGAGGACGAGGACGGTGTGGAGTCCTGGTGGCGCGACGCACCACGCGCGAAGATGCCGATACCGACGTATCCGCCCCTTAACAAAAAACGCCCCCACCCGTCTACCGAGAATCGAGATGCCCGCCCCCCCTCCCCCAGGCACAAGCAGAGTCAACATAAGCGGCAGTCCTACACCGCCCAGGAGAAGTTGAGGTGGCTCGTGCGGCTCGAGCTTGCGGCTTCGGTGAGCGAAGTGGCGCGGGAGTCAGGCATACACCGAAAATGTCTGACATAATGGAAAGCCCAAGCGGAGGCGCTCAAGGCTGCACACGGAGCACGGATGCGACTTCACGGGCGCGGGAGGGCGTCTTGGTACCGCCCCATGGAGTTAAAGGTGTACGCGCAACTCCTCGACTGGCGACGCCGCGGAGTTGCGGTTTCGGTCGGCCGGCTGCAAGAGTGGTCCAAAGAAGTGATGAAGGTTCGCTTCCCGGACGTCAAGTGGAAAGGCAGTCAGCGGTGGACGGAGCGGTTCCGCAAGCGGTGGAACCTCACCGTGCGCATGAAAACAAAGGTGGCGCAGAAAACATTGGAGCGTAAGTGGGTCGTCTACTGCTGATTTTGATTTATCCCGATTATGCTTAGTTTCTTTTTCGCATGTCTCCTGTGCGTGATACTAATTTGGTTTACTATGTGTACTTATCTCCCTGTTCCGCAGACGTGGCTGAGCAGTGCAAGGATTTTTGGCAGTACGTACGTGACGCCCGGAACGAATACGACATTGACAACCGCTACATAATCAACGCCGACCAGACACCGCTGTGGTTGGAGATGCCGGCGACGACCACTGTGGAGCAGACGGGCGTGAGGTCGGTGCCCATCCGCAGCGGTGGGTACCAGAAGGAGAGAGTGACCGTCATGCTTGCGTGCACGGCGACGGGCGAGAAGCTGAAGCCGTGGGTGTTTTTCAAGCGCAAGACACTCCCCAAGGGTGACTTCCCGAACGGTACGTGATCGTCGCGCGTGTTTATTCCCGTTACTACCAGAGTCGTCAACCGTTCTTTTTCCTTGCGTGCAGATGTTGTGGTCGGCTGCCAAGCGAACGGGTGGATGGAGGCCGCTGGCGTCATCGAGTGGCTCAACACGGGCGTGGTGCCGTTCCTGAAGCCGAAATTCGGCCTGCAGAGTCGTAGCGCCATGCTGGTGCTCGACTCGTATCGCGGTCACCTGACACCAGAAGTCAAGGAGAGATTCGCGGCGCTCAACATCGTGCCTGCTATCATTCCGGCGGGTTGCACGGCAGACCTGCAGCCCCTCGATGTGTCGATCAACAAAAGCTTCAAAGCAAGCATTCGTTAGCAGTACCAGACTTGGTTTGAGGCGGACGGCATGAACATCCTGACCCCGGCAGGTGAGTGACGACATGTGCTCCCGTCTGCAAATCTTGAGCTTGTATGCCTGTTTAGTTGTCTCATGTTTTCCCCGCCCCACTCCGTGTGATGCAGGGAACATCAAGAAACCACCTCCGGAGGTGGTGCTCAAGTGGATTTCCCGGGCGTGGAAGGCGGTGCCCGCCGACCTGATCAAGAGAGCCTTCCTCACGTGCGGCATCAGCAACGCCCTTGATGGGAGCGAAGACAAACTGGTGCTGGCGCACCGGAGAGGCCAGTTGTCCCATGAGGTGGAGGTGGACGACAACATCCAGGCAGATGGGTTCTGGGGCAACAACTCCATCGAGCCCGAGTCGGACGAGGAGGAAGAATAGGCAGTAGGGTAGACTAGGCAGGTTGAAAGGTGTGTAGTGCAGGACAGCAAAGACCACCCTTGTATGTGATTGTCTAAGTTAATGTAAAGATTGGAACATGTAGGCTAGGTAGGTTAAAAAAAAAAAGTTATTTTTTTTTAACTAAATGGGTGCGCTTATAATAAGTCACGATTTTCCAAGGGGTGCGCTTATAATTGAGGATCGGCCATAAGCGCATTGCTCCAGATACAAGCGCATGCGCTTAACATAGGCCTGCGCTTATATCCGGGGCCATACGGTACAATGAATGCACAGACTAATGTAGGGCTAGCCTAGCTAGGAGGAAACCTCGGACAAGCGAGGTTGGGTGCAGGTTGGGCGATGGAAATGCCGAAGGCGACGCGAGGAGCCTCGGTAGCGTTGAAATCGGCCGAACGTGCAACTCCGAAAATCGGGTTGTACGCGAAGCAGTCAACCCCGATAAGGAATTCAGGAAAATTCCTTACAGCGACGATGTTCAGAATAGATGTAGCAAACTGTTACCAGACTAAAGTAAATAAGGGGAAAAGCCAACTGATCTATTTGCTACATCAATATTACGGTAAGAGGGACGCATTTTCAAAAACGAGTTTCCAGCACAAACACGTTTATACTGCGACGTGAACACACTTGTCTAGGTAAATTTCTCAGCTCAGCTGACAAACACACTAAACGTTTGGTAACATATGCGCGAGTGTCAAGCTGACTCACGTGCTACTGCCATTTTTCTGTGTATCCTACCCACTGCTTCCCACCTACAACAAGCAGGACCCCTGATAGCAAACCAACTACTTCCTATCACAATATTTTCATGGAAAAATATGGCGTCGCGACACTTCACAGTGTGGTGTAGCTACGGGCGTCTCTAATGGGCGGAGGCGCAGCCCTCATGCCGGAAAACGAAACGACCGACCGCTTGATTACCTTGAGCTCTGGCATCCCCGCGCCCCTGTCACCGTCCCCATTGCCCTTGATGCTGTTGCTGTGAAGCCATGAAAACGGCGAGTCGGAGACAAACGTTGAGGGAGTGGTGGTGGAAGTAGATGCTGCAGTGGGGCTGGTGGGCTGGCTTGCTGCTTCTTTGAGCTCTTCTAGTACCGTCTGGCACTTGTGCTGATACCACCAGTCCTCCTCCACTAGCCTGCAGGAAGGGAGGGAGGGAGCAGAGGGGGAGAAGGGGAAGAGGGAAGATTGGGAGAAGAGACGTGGACATGTCAGGTGCATTATCAGCTTGAGTTCTATCAGCACTGTCTGGAACCCGAGCTCGTAGCACCACATCCCTCTTTCTCTCACCACATTCAACAACTGCGCACCTGCTCTCACAATCTTAGAAACACCATCTGTGCATCAGCTGTAAGCACGCATGGCCGCATCCACTGAATGGTCGCAGTAGTGGAGGAAAAACGCCACTTCCCTTCCTGCCAGCCCACCGCATTCAACCACTCTCGACCCTTGTGCGTGCACTGTAGGCCACAATCGCCCTGTTGCCGCTTTTTCTGCAAAGCCCTCATCCCTAGAAAAGAAACACAACTCCTCACTCCCCAGTGGAGAAAAAACGCCACTTCCCTTCCTGCCAGCCCACCGCATTCAACCACTCTCGACCCTTGTGCGTGCACTGTAGGCCACAATCGCCCCGTTGCCACTTTTTCTGCAAAGCCCTCATCCCTAGAAAAGAAACACAACTCCTCACTCCCCCAGTCAGCCCACCACATTCAGCCGCTCTCAACTCTTCCTCACCTTTTGGGGTCCTCCCCTGTGCGTGCACTGTAAGCCACAATCGCCCGTGTGGCGGCATCTTCTGCCAGCCCCCGGATGAGCGGAGAGGAGGTCTTGCCGCTGTGCGCTGCTTGCACCACGAAATACATGTCAAACACGAGCTGGAAGGGAGTGGGGGTGTGGGGGGGTTGAAACAGAGGAACTGGTCTTGCCGCTGTGAGCAGCTTGCACCACGAAATACATGTCAAACACGAGTTGGGGGAGGGAGGAGGAGCGGAGGAGAAGGGGAAGGGAGGGAGGAGGGGGGAGGGTAAACAAAACGGGAAAAAGTGGTGACTTAAAACTGGTCTTGCAGCTGTGAGCTGCTTGCACCACAAAGTACATGTCAAACACGAGCTGCTTGCACCACAAAGTACATGTCAAACACGAGCTGCTTGCACCACAAAGTACATGTCAAACACGAGCCGCGAAGGGAAGGAAGGGGAGTAAAGGACGGGGGGAAGGCAGAGAGGAGGGAGGGGGAATGGGAAATGAGCGGAAACAGCCCCACGAATGATCTTTCCAGTGTGAGCAGCTTGCACCCACAACTGCATGTCAAAAACGAGCTGGGAAAGCAGGGGGAAGAGAGGAAGGGTATACCTGGTCCAGACAGAACCAGGTTTGAGCCATACCTGGTGCAGGCCATACCTGGTGCAGGCCAATGGGCCCAAGGGGTGGATCAGCGGCCTGAATGTCTTCCCACATTGTACTCTCTATAAGCAGACCCGATAGCAGCCACTCCATGACTCGTCTCAGCAGCCTCCTGTGCATGCCTTCCTGCCCCCTCAGCACCCGCTCTAGGCTTGATTGCACGGCATTCACTGTGAGGAATAAAGCCTGGAAAGGGGTGTGGGGGGGGGGGGATATGGGAGAGAATGAGAGAGGATGGGTGCAGGAGAGGAGGGGGAAAAGAGATGAGCGGCCTTAGTGCATGGCCTCCTGTGACCACCCTAGGCTTGATGCCACGCCCATTTCATTGTGAGGAATAGCTCCTGGAAGGGGGGGTGGAGGACGAAGGCAAGAGAAAGGGAGAGACAGAGACGAGGGAGTGCAGGAGGGTTGGAGGAAAATGAGATGAGAAGCCTCCTGTGATGTGAATGGCTTGTGTTTAGGAATTCTCAAAATTGCCCTCTTAGAAACCTTTCTCGGCTTGATGTCATGGGCTTACTGTGCGGAATAGCGCTTGGAGTGGGAGGAACGATGATGGGAAAAAGCAGGAGCAGGGAGGAAAGGTGAGCAGTTGGGGTGGGTGATCTCCTTGGACACACACAAAGCATAGGGATACCACATAGACACTCACTCACGCACACACCCACCCCCTCCCCCCCACACAAACACACACATTCTCACCTGGAAGGGCGGCGATGGCAGGGGGTGCATCATCCACTGCTGCAGCTTGGTGCATGCATCCATGCCCAGGTACTCGTCTGCACACAGCACGCGCTCCCCACTCTCGCTGAACACAAACCCGCCCCACAGCGACGCACAGAAGATCTCCCGAATCCTCCGCGAGGCTCTCTGAATGCGCGCCCTCCACCCCTTGTGCTTCGCCCGGTTGCTGCGGGCACATGGGGGGACGAGGGAGGGTGGGCGAATGTATGTGCGACAAGGAGGGGTGGAGCCTGTTTGACACAGGGGTTGAGGGAATGAGAGAGGAGTCAGAAAAAAAACTGGAAATGAAGAGCACCCAGCAAGGCATGGGAAAGAAAAGCACGTATGACTATGGCTGGTGCCATGCTCACTCTATCCAACCCACCCCATGCCACACCACCCCACGTGTCACCCCAGCCCATGTCACCATCCCACATCACCCCGTCCCATCATGCACATACAACTGCTGCCTCTCATGCCACGTGGATCGTGCCTTGCTCCTCCTCCCGCCTGTCTGCTGCCCCTCCCCCTTCCCCGCGCCCCCACCCTTCCCCTCCTCCTCACTCCCCCCCTCCCCTTCCCCCCCCCCCTGCTCCCACGCCTTCCACCTCCCCCCCACCCTCCCCCTTCCCCTCCCCTTCATCTCCCTCCCCACCCCTCCCACCCTCCTCACCCTCCTCCTCCTCCTCCTCATCCTCCCCCAAATACCCCAGCCCTTCCTCATCCTCTATATCCGCTATAGTCAGCCTCACTGCAAGCCTGGGAAGCAGCTCATCGGCCAGAGCAGCTACATTCCCCAGCACAGCCAGCTGCTGCGCCTCTGTCTCTGCCTCCTGAACATGGTACACGTGCCAGCTGTTTGCTGGAGGGTCCAGCAGCGGGTTACTGTGGTCGATTGTGTCAACATCTTGATCACCAGCAGCAAGAGCAGCAGCAGTACCTAAAGCGCCAGCAGCGGCTGCAGCAGCAGCAGCGTTAGCACTGTCACCATTTGACAGTCTCTGCTGACTGATGTTCCGTGATATGGACACCTCTTCCCACTCCTCCTCCTCCCCCTCTGCCTGTCCCTTCCCCTCCCCTGCATCCCTTCCTCTCTGCCCTCTCTCCTCCGTTGTGTCCCCTCCCTCTTCCCCTCCCATCACATCTCCTTCCATCCTATCTGACACAGTCACACCCTCCGCACTCCCACTCACCCCTCCCTTGTGCCCTCTTACTCCCCCTCCTTTCCACCCCTCGTCCCCTCCCCCCTCCACCAACTTCTGCGCCCTTTCTCGCCTCCGTCTCTGTGCCCGAGCACCAACAGAACCAGGTGCCGGGGGCAGGGTGGCGTCAGGTGGAATCTCAGGTAGCGCCAGCTCCATGAGGCTAGCGAAACACTCGAACTGCGTTGCGATGGCATCAAGAACCTTATCCAATAAATGGAGGCTGATTACAGGGAGTATATCCTCGACCAGGTCCTGGGGGGAGGGAGATAGAGAGACGGGTGTAAAACAGGGGAAAGGGGAAAAGGGAGAAAAAAAAAACTTTTACTCGCTGTCTGCCTCAACCTGAGCCCGCCCAGTCCCAACACTCACCAGGTGATTCTCACCCCCATGTGCCCCCTAGCAACCAGGCACCCCACTGTCAGAAGACCTGCACAGGGGATGGCCGATTGTTACTAGAAAAGGGTTACAGGCTCGCTGACCTGGGGGGGTTATGGGAGCACTGGCCTGCTACTTAACAAATCATTTTATCCCAGTGGTATAGCGGCTGGGATTATGATATGGTATCAAAGCAACGGTCTCGGGTTAGAATCCCCATTTGCACACGTTGGCGGTGCCGTGTCCTAGGGCATCCCTGTGAAGCGGGTGTCAGAAAACCTGCACTGGGGATGCCCGATTGATCTTAGGGAAAGGCTTGCTTAGCTGGGAGGTTATAAGCGCACTGACCCGCTACTTAACAATCTGTTTGATCCCAGTGGTTTAGTGACTGGGATTCTGACACCCACCACCATCATTAGCACAAACCAAACAACCACGAACAGCAGCACTCACCACGAGTAGCAGGTAGAACCGCTGAGCACTCGGCGTCAGCCTAATCCTCAACCCGCCTAGCCCCAGCACGCCGCCCCACCCCCTCAATCTCATCAGCGCCGGAGCACCCAAGTCAACCGCTTCCAACCGCCACTCATCGGTCGTTGCGACCGACACCACCGCATCCTCGATCCTCAGAATGTTAAACTCTAGCGCCTCCATCACACTGGGCCGCATGAGCTCGCCTAGCATGGGCGCCAGGCAGATCCCCTGAGGTTCGAGTAAGCGCGCGTGGCCGAGGGAGATGCAGACACACTCGGAGGCGGCGTGGAGGCCGCCAGGGGAGGCGGCAGAGCAGAGGATGTTGCGGCGGAGGAGGGAGAAGGCGAAGGTGACCTCGCGACGCGCCCACAGGAGGAGATCCGCGGAGCAGGCTGGTTGGTCGGCGAAGATTATGGCTGAGTCGGCCGTGGCCTGGGCTATGGCAGAAAAGACAATCTGGGGAGAGAGGGAGGGAAGTGGGGGGACAAGGGGAGTGCGTGAGTGGGAGTGACCGAGGGAGATGCAGACACACTCGGAGGCAGCATGCAGGTCGCCCGGGGCAGCGGCGGAGCAGAGAATGTTGCGGCGGAGGAGGGAGAAGGCGAAGGCTCGACACGTCCAAAGGAGGAGATCCGCGCAGCAGGCTGGTTGGTCCGCAAAGATTATGGCTGAGTCGGCTGTTGCCTGGGCTATGGCTGAAAAGGCAATCTGGCAGGGGAGAATTGGGCGTGATACGGGGAGAGCGAGCCTACGTTGGCAGATACGCCCTTGGGGGGTGGGCGTATTGCGTATATACGCTAGCGTATGTACGCAATACGCTAATACGCCTGGAAATCCTAAAATACGCCGGGGCAGCCCGGTAAAAAAAAAAAAAAAAAACTCCATTAAAAATTGCAAGAATTTGCGACAGCGAGAATTGAACCCTCGACCTCGCACAGAGCCCAACTCCTGTCTGCAATTCGAAATTCAAAATTCAACCCCTCCCACATCCCCAACCACACACCACCCCTCTCAACCTCCCAAACCCAACCTCCCCCCTTTCACTCGTTCGAACATCTCAATCCCTAAACAGCTCCTCTTTCATTCAATCCCGCATTTCTCATCTTGCATTTCGTCCGACTCTCGTCGAGCTCAAACTCTCCTAGCTTTAGTACTTCCTCGCCATGGCGACCCCTACTCCCTACAGTTCGAGGGCGAAATCTGCCCGGGAAAAAGTTTTTTCCTGCCCGCCCAGCGTATTTTAGCGATCAGCAGTACGCCAGCCATGGCGTATGGCGTATATACCCAGCGTATAATACGCTAGCGTATTATACGTGATACGCGTATCTGCCAACGTAGGAGCGAGAGGGGCAGGAGGTTGGGGGAAGGGAGGTGAAATGGAAAACTATTACACACAGCCGCACACACACACCTGGGAAGGCGAAGAAGCAGTGTGTGACTTGCCAGCCCCAGCATCCCTCCTTTCACCTTGCACCCGAACTTGCTTCATTTCCACACCCACTCTCCCCGCCCCCTCATTTACAACCACACACACACACCCCATCTCCTCCCCTTTTTCCTCTCCTACTTCCTTCCCGCTCCCCCCGCCAACCACGCACATGTGACAGAGCAGCAGTGTACGACCCGCCAAACACAGTAGCAGACTGATGCTGCGACCACGCACTCCTCGTAATCCACTCCCCATACGCGCCCAGCAGCAACTGATGAGCAGTTCCAGCTCCCCCAGCCGCATCAACCCATGCATCACCCCCAGCATCGCCCCCTGCTTGCTTCATTCCCACCCCCCTTCCCCCCTGCCCCCCCCCTCCCCAACCCCTCCCCACCCCATTCCACCTCCCCGCACACCCAAACACGCACCTGAGACAGAGCAGCAGTGTACGACCCGCCAAACCCAGTGGCGGAGCGATGCAGCGACCGGGCACTCCGCCGTATCCTCTCCCCATACGCGCCCAGCAGCAGCTGATGTGCTAACTCCAGCTCCCCCAGCCGCATCAACCCGGTAACCGCAAACCGCAGCTCCTCCCCCAGCACGTCCGAGTGCTTTGCCGTGCGCTCCAGCTCAGCAACCAGCACCACGTGGCGCTCTGCTATTGCTGCTGACAGCGCCAGCGCGGCCGGCTCGCTTAGAAGCTCGGTCGCTGGAGCGCCGCCGGCCGGAGGTTCGGTTTCAGGGATAATATTGCCGCCCGGAACGAGTTCACTGCCGCCCGGAACGACAGTGCTGTCAGAATTTTTACTATCACCACCCGTGGCTGTGGCTTCAGCCGTGCCCTGGGTGTCCCCTTTCTGGTGCTCTCCTCCTTGGCTGGATAATTTCTGAGGGGGGTTTCCACCCTTTACACTCTGCTGTTGATTGTTAGAAATGATCCTCTTATTCAAGACTTCAGCCCTTTCTTTCCTCCCCTCTGTTCCTTCCCCTTCCCTTCCCTCTGCTGCCGCCTCAACAGCTCTAGCAGCAGCAGCAGCTGCAGACGCTTTTGCAGCGTTCCGCCTCCTGCCCTGAAAGCTACCCCCCTGCCGTGAGCTCTCCTCCACATCCCCATTCCCTAACCTCTCGCCCGCCAACCCTGCATTCCCCACGTTCTCCTCCACACTCCTCGCTCGAGGCCTCGTTTTCAAGCCTCCTTTCAAGCCCTCTTTCAAGCCCTCTTTCAGGCTCTCTTTCAAGCTGCCTCTCAAGCCCCCTCCTCCTATGGGCGCACCATCCACGCTGGTCCCCTTCCCCATACCCTCATACACATACCCCCACTCCTCTCTACGCGTTCCCCCGGTAAGAGACCTCTTTGTGAGAGGCGTCTCATCCCAACCCTGCTCTGACCCTGCTCTTCTTTGCTCGCCATGCTCCCCCTCCCCCTCCTCCTCCTCCTTTTCCTCCTCCTCTCCCGCCTCAGCCTCCTCCTCTTCCCCTTCCCCTCCCCCGTCCTCCTCTCTCAACCACCTTTCCACCCGCCCTTCTTCCCTCTCCTCCCCACCACCCTTTCCATCCCACACCTTTCCTCTCTCCCCACCCTCCTCCCCTCCCTCCCCTTCTCCACCACCCTCTCCCGCTTCCCCTTCAGCAAACTCCCCCTCCTCGTTCCTCCTCCGCTCATGTGACTGTAACGAGAGCTGCGCCATCTGCTGCCCCTGCTCCAGCAACTCAATCGCCTGATCAATTTTCTGCTCCGTTATAAGCCCATCCAGTACATCCGGTAACGCCTCCGCATACCGCTCCATCTCCGTCGGCTCCCTCTCCTCCTCATCCCACCCCTCCTCCATCCCATTCTCCTCCTCTTCCTCCTCCTCCCAGCCATCGCCATCCCTCCCCCTCGTCCTTCTCCTTCTCAGCCTCACCTCCCCTCCCCCCTCTCCATCCTTCACCATAACCCCACTCCCGATGCTCCCAACAGCCCACACCTGACCACTCTCCTTCGCCCCGGCCCCATGCCAACCCGCATGCGGGGTTACAGGGGGAGAGGAATGCACAGAATGGTCCGGCGTATGGCTAGAGTCGGACCCATCATCGTGAATCCCCCCGCCTTCAGACCTGCGTCTGCTGTGGTGCGGCGAGGAGTGGGCGAAGAGCGAGAGTGCGATGGTGCGGCTCTGGCAGCTGCCCTTCTCCGCGAGGGAGTGGATGAGCGCGGTGTTGAGCGTCAGCATCTCCCGCATGCGCTTCAGCTGCACCTGAAACGCGGATATTTGCTTCGACGTGCTGGGAGGGGAAGAGAGAGGGAGTGGTGGGGGAAGGAAGGAAAGAACGGGGACAGGTGGAGAGGGAGTGGATGAGCACGGTGTTGAGCGTCAGCATCTCGCGCATGCGCTTCAGCTGCACCTGAAAGGCCGAGATCTGCTTGGATGTGCTGGTGGAAGGAGGGAGGGGGGTGGGAAGGGGGTAGGAGAGGGAGGGGGAAGGGTGGAGATGGAGAGTGGAGGAGGGGTAGGAGGGGGGAGTGAGGAGGGGTAATGGGGGATGGGGGAGATGGTAACGGGAGAGGGTGGGGGGGGGGGGGGGGGGAGGGAGAGAGGGGTGAGGGGAGGGGGATGGGAATTGGGGAAGGAGCGGAGGGAAGTTGACAATAGAAGGCAGCACAGAGGGATGTGAAGTTCTGCATCCGCTTCACCTGCACCTGAGAGCGGAAGGAGCGTTGGGAGCGTTGCCACGTTGGAGTGCAGTGGGTGAGTGACTGACCGTATGAAGGCGGGGTAGTTGGCATACACGCTCCTCCGCATCTCCTCTGCCGACACTCGCCTGAACTCCATCAGCTCCTGCGCCAGCCGCCGCACCTCCTGTGGGCGGCGGGGGAGGGGGGGAGGAAGGAGGTGAGGGGAGCAAGAGAAACGAGCGAGCAAGGGGGAGCAAGGGGAATGAGGGGCAAGGGGAACAGTGGGCTAGAAACAAGGGGAGTGCGGAGAGACAGCTTTTGAGGCGCCTCGAGAGTCGTCTCATGACTCGCCTGAACTCCATCAGCTCCTGTGATAGCCGCCTCACCTCCTGTGTAAGGGCCCAGGGGGCGAGGGAAATGAGTGAGGGGAGCAAGGGGAACAATGGCGAGTGAGGAGGGACAGCATCTGAGGCGCCTCAAGAAGAGCCGTCCCGTCTCATGTCTCGCCTGATCCCCGTCAGCTCTGCTGCCAGCCGCCGCACCTCCTGTAGGGGGCGAGGGAAACTAGGGGAGCAAGGAGAACAATAGGATGCAAACAATGGGGACATCATCGTCCCAATGCATCCCCCATTCGACTCAATGCCCCGCTCATGGTCGCTCTATAATCGCTCACAACCCCTCATAATCCCTCAGAGTTCCTCATAATCCCTCTAGCTCCCGCCGAATCCCTCGAAATCCCTCGAAATCCGTCGCACCGCTTCGCGCCACGAGACTCACCCATTCGTCGTTCTCCTCCATCTGCTCCTCCGCGTACGCCTCCGCATCGAACCGATCCTGTGAGAAATTCATCGCGACAAATTGTTCTTCGCCACGAGTTTGAGAAACTCCCCGTCACGAAGTTCGAAACTTTCGCCACCCAATCAGAAGGCCGTGTCCACGTCTTGCTTTCGTCGGGGTGGATCGCCGATTTCCTCCACAGATTTCCCTCTTTTCCGATTTCTCTCGTCTAACTTAAAACATAGCCGTCTTCTCCGCCTTCGATTCCGCTTGACCTCCCTCGTCAAGCGTCACTTGGTGTACGGGCCTTCCTCTCTCTTCGCGTCCTTCCTCTTTCCGACTTTCTTTCGCTCGAGTCCGCGTTCCTCCCGGCTTTTCGCCTGCGCTCTACCCGCGCAGCCTCCCCACGAAGGGTACTCCAACTGTACGGAAAAATATGTCACTATCCGTGAGAACTGGCGCTCTTCCGACCATAAGGGCGCATGGTAATATAGGTTATGGTAACATAGTTAACCTGTGCTACAGTAACATGCTAACGCACTCTAGTGGTAAGCTATCGCGCAACCGAATTGACGCCCAAAAAGTGGCGCATCGCGAGGTTACGATTACATCCGTATATTATTGGATGAGCAGTACCCGCAACCTGAAAAGGCTGGGTCGTAACTAGCGTAAGGGCTATCACTGCGGTAATAAGTTATACGCGTCCAGGCAGACAGGCATTGCAGCACCTAATAGGTTACCTGGACGCATTTTATCTTCCCGCTGCTTCCTACGTTCTAGAACTGTCACTGGCAAACTACTGCGAGCAGGCACAGTAGTGCAGCTGCTCCCTTCCTTATCAGCGTTTTCCGAAAAAACAACGGATACACGTAACTTTCTGCAAATCGGTTGGTGGACGTTTCAGCTGCTCTCTCTTCTCGACTATGCCTGTAAACACTAGTAGTAAGTTACTACGATTACGAATGTGACAAGATCGTGCCCATGAAGTTGCGAATAAATGCTACATTTGTCGCATCCACTCGAGTCGTCGTGGTGGCATTCCGCTTCGCACTGGGAAGTTGGGAACTTGCTCAACGGAGCTTTCAACGAAGGAAAACAGTACAGTATAGTAAGGAGGACGAGACTAAGATAGAGATGTGCACTGTGGCTGTCCTACTGTTATGCTGTCGAGTGTGAAGGGGATGTGTGTGAGCATGACTGGTGTGCTCGTTCTCTGTATCCTACTCAAAAGCTGTAAGTATTTGCTCAACCTCTCTAGACCGTGGAAATCCGGAATACGGATTTGGTACAGCATTGGGCGGGAGGAAATGGGGGCACACAATCACACTTGGCACGAAACGGCTACTGGAAGAAAGCTTTCGTACTTCGGATAAGTTACACCTTTTGGGATCATCGCTGTATGCCACTTGTAAGGGCACGTCTTTTGGAAATTGTTTTAAAGTTCACGTTTATTCATTTACCCGTCTGAACTTCGGTCGACCAGTACTTGACTGTAAGGAATTTCCCCGAATTCCTCATCGGGGTTGACTGCTTCGCGTACAGCTCCAATTTTCGGACTTTGCACGTTTGGCCGATCTCAACGCTGCCGAGGCTCCTCGCGCCGCCTTCGGCATTTCCCATCGCCAAACCTGCACCCAACCACGCTCGTTCGAGGTTCCCTCCTAGCTAGGCTAGCTCCCTCCGAGCGGCAGCAGCGCCAATTGCAGTAACGACGATCAAGATTAAACCCGTCAACCCGCCCCCGTTCAATCCTACGTGAGAAGAAACGAGGAATGAAATGACTAAAGGAAAGTTGGGTACAAAAGCAAACCCTAGAAAACTGTACCCCATATGTGCTACCCCACTATAGCCTACAGTAGCTATGTCATATAAATCTGACACACCCCCATAGGCAAAGTGGGGGAGAACAAGGGGTCACAAGACCAGTCAAGCAAAGCAAAACAAGCTCAGGGTGGATCACAAAGTCACCACACATTCCGAGCACAAGTTCAAGGCCACAAGGCCAGTTCACATGCAGGATTGCATATATATATAAGGCTAGACAAGCAAGAGCAGGTGTATATATATATGCAACAGTACAAGCAAGGTCAAGGGGTGAGCAAGTGAGGCAAGGTAGGCACAAGACCCAGCTGAGTACAGAAGCGCTGATGATCACAAGGCGGAAGTGCCTTGGTGAAGATATCAGCAGTGTTGGCCTGAGAGGCCACGTACGCAAGCCGTAGCTGACCACGCTGCTGTAGCTCACGAGCAAGGAAGTAGCGGAGAGCAATGTGCTTCGTTCTGTGCTCCAGTCTCTGCTCTCGACACAAGGCCAACATGGCCTTGTTGTCTACGTACAGCACTGGAGGAGAACGAGGCGGCTCTCCGAGGTCAGTGAGCAGGTAGGTGAGCCAGCGAAGCTCCTGTGCAGCCATGGCCCCGGCGTAGATCTCAGCCTCACAACTGGAGCCGAGAACAGAAGACGAGCGGGTAGCCCGCCACGAAACAGAGCCGGAACCAAGGCTGAAGGTGTAACCCTGTGACGACCGCTGCGTAGCCTGGTCGTCAGCCCAAGAAGCGTCTGCGTGCCCAGTGAGGACCACTGGACTCTGCCCTCCAAGCACAAGCCCCATGCCCGACGTACTGCACAAGTAGCGCAACACCCTCTTCGCTGCAGCCATGTGCTCCGGTCTGTGTCTCCCAGGAGCAACATAGCGTGCAAGAATGCTAAGAGGGTATGCAAGGTCAGGTCGTGTGCAGGTCATCAGGTACATGAGGCAGCCAACAAGCTCTGGGTACGGGCCACTCGACTCTACGGACTCATCCGAAGGCAGAGCTGAGAGCGAGTGGCGAGTAGGCAGAGGAGTGGCCTGAGGCGAGGAGTACGTGAAGCCGAAGCGCTGAAGGACCTGCTGCACCATGTGTGACTGAGTCAGGGTAATGGTGCGGCGTGCTCTGTCCCGGGTGATCTGCAAGCCAAGGTAGCTGCGCAGTTCACCCAGGTCTGTGCACGTGTGTCTCTTCTGCAGCTCGGACTTCACGTGGGCGAGTCCAGCAGTGTCAGCTGTGGCGAAGACCAAGTCGTCGACGTACACGAGGATGTAGAACGGCGGCAAAGAAGTGTCGGTGCGCAGAAACAGCGACGGGTCGGCAGTAGAGGGAGCAAACCCAAGAGCCGCAAGTGTAGTCCTCAGTGTGTCGTGCCACTCACGCGGTGCCTGGCGGAGACCGTAGACTGGCCGCCGGAGGCTCCACTGGGTGCCAGGAGGAAAGGACCCAGTGAAGCCAGGTGGGCGACGCAGCCAGATCTCCTCGTGCAGGCTGCCCTGCAAGAAAGCAGTGCTGAAGTCAAGAGAGTGCAGCTCGTAGTCGCGGTGAGCAGCTATGTGCAGCAGTACCCGAAGAGTGGTCATCTTCGGGGTGGGAGAGAAGGTCTGAAAGTAGTCAACTCCCTGCCGCTGACTGAAGCCACGAGCCACGTAACGCGCCTTGAAGACAGGCGGAGAACCCGACGGCCGCTTCACCCTGAAAATCCACATGCCACTGACGATGTTCGCCCCAGGCGGGGGAACCTCGTCAACGTAGGTGCCTGTGGACTTCCAGGAAGCCATCTCTGCGTCCATAGCTGCCTGCCACTGAGAGGAGTAAGGACCCTCTATCGCCTCCGCGTAAGAGCGCGGAGTCGGGATGTCAAGTGCATCCGGGTCTCCCTCAGGGGTAAGCAGTACGGACACGAGATGAGGTGAAGCAGCAGCCAGACACTGGAACTCCTCCTGCCTGTCCTCAAGGACGTCCGTGCCAAGGGCACACTCACCCCCGACGGACGGAGGACAGACAGACTCAGACTCAGCAACAAGACTAGCAGCGTAGTCTAGACGACAGCGAGCAGCAAAGTCGACGAGCTCAGCAACTAGGGCAGACGCAGCAGTGGACTCAAAGGAAGGGTCAGTGACAACAGTAGCAAGGAGACGCGTGACAGTCGGACTGGCAGCACGAAGGGAGTCCGACTCCGGGTCAGGAAGAGCAGGAAGAGAGGACTCAGGAGGAGAAGGCAAAGGGGCACGCAGAGGAGCAGTGGACGGACGCAGAGACATCCGGTGCGTGCCAGGGACAGGAGGAGGACGCTGACGCGAACCACGACCACTAGTGCGAGCAGCACGGACAGGCGACGCAGGGCGAGACGCAGGCTCACGACGCTCAGTAAGACCTCCAGTAGGACCAGTGTAGGGAGAAGGAGCGGGCAGTGGGGAGGCCGGCTGTAACTGTAACTGTGACGGGACAGGCTGTGGACACTCTAAGGGAGGAGGAGGACCAGTAGAAGGCGGGAGACCAAGAACCTGCTGAAGGAGCGGAACGAAGTACGGCCGAGGCCGCGCGGCGACTCCAGACACAGCAGGGACAGCACCAGTACCCCCAGCGGCAGCACCAGCGCCAGCAGCACCTCCAGCTCCAGTACCTCCAGCAGCACCAGTAGCACCCCCAGTAGGACCGCCTCCAGGACCGACAGCAGTAGCCTCAGCGCCAACACCCTCAGCAGCTCCAGCTCCAGTCGTACCCGCAGGCCCAGCAGCTCCAGTACTCCCAGTACGAGCACCTCCGGGACACGCGGCACCAGCACCCTCAGCAGCCAAAGAACCTCCAGCTCCAGCAGCACGCCTCCAGCGCCGGGCAAACCACTCGCGCAGCTCCTGTGGAGAGAGTGGCTCCCGCCGAGACGAAGCACCCGGAGAACCTCCAGGCTCAGCACCGCCAGACGCCACACGAGCAGGCCCAGCTCCCTCAGGCTCCGCACCCCCAGGCTCAGCACCTCCAGGCGTAGCACCCCCAGGCTCAGCACCCCCAGGCTCAGCACCCCCAGTAGTAGCACCCCCAGGCTCAGCACCCCCAGGCTCAGGACCCCCAGTAGTAGCACCCTCAGGCTCAGCACCCCCAGGCGTAGCACCCACACGCTCAGCACCCCCAAAGTCAGCACCCCCAGGCTCAGCACCCTCAGCAGCACCAGAGTCACCAGTAACCTCGACAGGCTCGACTGCGTCTTCCTGGGACACACCTGAAGGGGCATGACCCTGAGGGGGGAGGGGGTCTACCGGGGG